GGCAAAAAGGCTCCCCCCACCACCAGACCCATGTTTGCTGGGTGGTGAGGAGCGCCCTTCCTATTGTAGGTTTCACCTTTTCATTTGCAGTATCTTTTTAAAGAGAGATATTGTAGTCATGGAGACTTTCAGCAATCAGGTTTATGTTTGTTGCTTCCAATGTTGTGATAGTAAGAAAAAAAGCCTAATTTCAGATTCTTTCAAGAAAGTTACCCTTTGTGTATGTATCTAACGCAGGAGAAATTGTAATAGTCTTAGAGTATAATTCAGGAGTTAGCAACCCAATGCCTACGGATACCAATGTGCTTTCAGTCTCTTTCTTTGGTGATCACCAGGCTTCCTACTTGGCTCTCTGCTTTATTTTGCTTTACTTTTTAAATATACAACAACAACAACAACAGGAAGTTGACATGCTGCGAAGTTAGGTAATAGCTTATAGTTTCATATTTACTTCCAAAAAAGTCTCACAACCCCTCCCATGTCATTTTGGACTTCAACTTTCATAAACTCTGGTCATTGCTGAGTGAGTTCTGCTAGCTAGTGAGAGTTATATTCAAAATATCTGGCAGTCATTAAGCTGAGATTTATACATGATATTGCTAAATGCCCCATAACTAGGCATATGTATTCAAGGATATGCGGGATGTTTTTGTATGGACTGGAGATTAATTCCTCAATTTCTTAGTAATTTAGCCACCTTGAACATTGAAGTTTTAATCTCCTCTTTCAATTCTAAAACAAAATGCATGGATGGAGTTATCAGAAACTGATTGTTAGATATAAAGATATGCTATTAAATATGTAGAAAGCAGATATTTGTTTCATAAATGTTAATTTTTTATCTTCCTATTTTGTTTGTTGTTTTTGTTGTTTATGTTAGAGGTCTTATGATGTTATTGTTTTTAATCATACTTTAGATATTTTAACTTTTGCTATTTCATATACTTTTTAAGTTGCTGAGAATTGTCTGATTGCAGTGGGGTAAATAAATAAATAGCATTAAGTAACATATTTTCATAAACTAATAATACATTTGGATGACTTGTTCAAAATAAATTCCTTAATCTTAGCTAGAGAAAGTCTATGACCCCAAAAATGAAGAGGATGACATGGTAGAAATGGAAGAAGAGAGGCTACGAATGAGAGAGCATGTCATGAATGAGGTAAGGTTTAAGTGCACACATTTTATAAATAACTGTTAGCAAAATTTTGCTGTTGCAAGTATTCCAACAGAACATACATCTAATTCACAGGATGATTTTTTTGGAACTTATCATTGCTTCCAACCCATGTTTGACATGTAAGAAATTTTAACAGGTAAATAAGCTATCTTCTTATAGCTGCAATTCTATATTTATGACACTTTATTATTTCTGTCTCCATGATCCACTGATTCGTGCATTATATTCATCCATTCAAAATATCCTCTGAGAAGGTGAGTCAAGATTTTTGGATGGGAGAAAAAATAACAGGCATGATTTTTTCCTACATGAATACACAAGAGTCCATGTATGGCATTATCCTCATAGATCATGGCAGAATGCTGATCCTCTTCCTCTTGGATTGTGTACAGGTAGCTTGGCAGGTCATTGCAATGAATGTCTGCTCTATAATTTTCTCTTATTTCACATTCAGATCCCATATCTGCTTGCTCAGTTTCCAAACTGTCAGGCACCTTTGGATTCGTGGATCTGGAAAGTACACACAGATTTTCAGTTTTGTGGACCATTCCAGTACATTGTCTTTGCATGCATCTAATGCAAATACACCAAGAAGCAAAAGAGGAAAAAAGGCTTCTTAAAACAATCAAAGATATGTGTCTGCAATTGGGACAATTGTTCTTATTGTACAGATAGGCACTCAGTGAGATTTAAAGAACTAAATGTGGAAAACAGGTATGTAAATATGCATTTCAGTAGTGGACATATTTCCATAGCTGGAACATATTTCTGAAAATGCCTGTTTCAGACTTTCCTAAACCCACCCCAACACAATGTAAATTTATTATTACATGTCTAGTTATCCTTATATAAATAGCTTTATTAAATAGCAAAACATATCTTTGCTATTGAATGATATCTACTAAAATAGTGCAACGTGTAATTATTCATGAACAGATTGTCTTGGGATGAGAATGTGTGAATCCAACTTTGTTTTTTAATCACTTAATATGAATGCTATTCTGGCTAGTATTAGATTGACATGATTGTTTTCTTTACAATTTTTTTACAGTAAGCATATCTAAAGCTATAAAATTATAAACACTTCTACCCTTTCCTTCAAACTGTTGGAAGACCAGCATAATTTCATTGTCAAAACCAGTTTCTTGATGAGTGATTCTTCTGTCACATTGACCACCATCATGCAAATCTGATATCTCTGATCTGGTTTTGTTGTTGTTTTGCTACTTAGCAAGAGAAGTTTCAATTCCCACATATTATTGATACTTAGAGTGATATGGAATTCTAAATGTTACAGATAAACTGCACATCTCTCACTAGGATAGAAATGTTATCTTTGCAGCCCCCTTCCCCCCCCCCCCCCATACATTATTAGGACAAAGAGTTGTTGATTTAGGAAAGGAACATCTTTGTTCTTTATCATACATGGCTAATTTTAACTTACTTTTTTCTCTGGGAGTTTGTACAAGACAGCAATTTAGATGAAGAGAGCTTGTTTCTTTCTTGTGCATAGATGATGCTTCTTATCACTTATTCCCATCCCTGCTACCATTTTGTTTTATGCAATATAACTGATTTTAGCTTATTCTATTGTGCACCCCTAATATGGCTTTGGTTATGTCTACTAATGTTTACTGATGGGGTGGAGTTGGCACTAATCAGGCATTTCTGTCATAGCTTTTCTGCAACCTCCTTCCCATTACTTTTTAAAAACTGCAGATAAATACAAATTCTGTAGCTAAACTGTGTATAACTTTTTGCTTCTCTTTTAAAAGGTTGACATCAACAGAGACCGGTTAGTCACCTTGGAAGAGTTTATGAGAGCTACAGAGAAAAAAGAGTTTTTGGAGCCAGAAAGCTGGGAGGTACTAATGACACTTTTTAGCTAAGACATACTGTAGTTATCCACAAATGGCCCATTTGTTTTGAACTTTTAATCATTTCCCTATTTCTTCTGTTATATTTATGTGTCATGAAAATAAAATCTGAACAGTGAGTCCAAGGACACTGCATAATCCTCTCTGTGGAGCAACTTCACTGTTTGAAGCAGAGTAAGCATGCCCATTATGGCTACAGAATTTAAGCAAGGGGGTAACTAAAATTGGAAGCAAAGGCGAAGAATTGTTTTATCTTTTTTTTCCCCCTATAGCAGCATGTGTACATTTTACTCCAAACTTGACTATAATTAAAAACAGTGTACGGTTGTGATACTGCTGTGTCTGGAAATTTTCTCCTTACAGTAATAGTCTGTAATTACAAAAGAACTTTAAGAATTTCTGCTTTGCTTCATGGTACCCAAGGGAGATTATGGGGATACGAAACTATATCTATGGATAACCACCCATTTAAAATAAATACAATCCATATATTTTCTAGACTCAACTTCACCCAGGCAAGAAAAGTACACACTGTTTCTGCTTCATCTTTATTATTGTGAGGAGGAACAATTTGTTTTGGAAGCAGCTCAGAAGATTTTCAGGTGTCTTCTCTTGGCAGATGGTCTCTGCTGGAGCTTGCTTTATGATGCGGCAGGCTTCAGTTCTTCTCCCTTTAATGAGGAAGAAATTGATTGCAATTTGCTTGTTTATTTATTCCAAAGGCAAATTGGAGGTGTGTACATGGAATAGGAAACATGAAACTGATGGGACAGTAAAGGCAATATTGAGAAATTGTGTCCTGCTTTTACATGGGAGGAATTTGTGAGTGTGCACATGCCCCAAAAACAATATTTCTCCTTATCCAAAAGTAGGTAATCATCAAACATCTTGAATCTTGGGCAGAGATACAGATACTGTATGTGATTCTGCATCTTAATTTTTCCCATTGAGCTTTCTTTTAGGGAGTTGTTTAAGATTCATTGTTCTTGTTGTTTTTGAGACTCTGGACCAGCAGCAGATCTTCACTGAAGAGGATCTGAAGGAATTTGAAAGTCACATTTCTCAGCAAGAAAATGAATTGCAAAAGCAAGCATTAGAACTTCAGAGAAAGAAGGAAGAGCTACAGCGACAACAAGACTTCCTTCAGGCTCAGAAACAAGAACTTGAAATGGTACAACTAGAGTACTTGCAAGCTTTCATTTACTTTTTTGGAAATTAATTCATTTTGCATTTAATAAGAAAAGGATAAATCATCACAACTATGCTGTGATGTATACTGCCTATGAGATGTATATGGGATGGGCTCGCTAATGACAAGCATCCCCATACTGGAGACATTGGGTGAGTTCTATTGTCAGGCAAAGTGAATATCAGACTCTTGGCAGCCAACTTTACCTAAAGCAAGATTCTTACGGTGTCTTCTTTAACAAAATGTATTAAAAGAGAAGCTGACTAGATTGCAGAAATGTCTACAACGGGATTATTTTCATTTTAGAACCGGTTAGGACATAAACTTCCCCCATGTTTAATGTCCCTTCTCTGAACAGGCTGTCTGTCTGTCTGTTAACCAGATCACTGAAGAATGTCCAGTTGTCTGTTAATGTTTTCCCAACCACCTGAATCCTTATCAGGCTGCGCATATACCTTGGCAGCAAAAACTGAGTGTCATGGAAAGACCGCAGAGGATTAATTATTTTAATATGTTGTTATTTTGCCTCTTCTGGGACTTTCTACTTCATCTGCCAAAATAATGTGGTTGGCTTTGAATTTTGAGTTCAGGAGGAGGGTGCCCATTGTTACTCCGCTCTGTGTGTTTGGGGGATGTTTCAGTTGTAAGTGCCTGCTTGGTCTGCCAGAATTTCAGGTTCTGGCTTCTTTTAACAGAAGAATCTTGTTTAGCATGGCTAGAAGGACTCTAGTTGAGGTACTGGAGAGGTGATGGCAGTTAGAGAAGTTAATGCTGAACTGGATGGACTGATTTGGGAAAAAGAAACTTCATGTGTACTCCTTGAGTGTAGTTTATCCAAGGGGGGAACACCCCAAGTAAATAAATATAGAATAGAGTTCCTTTAAAAGATCAGAAAACCCAGCATTTATTCACTTACAGTCTAGACTGAGAGACTCTAAAAGGTCCTTTTTATGTACTCTGTGTTTTCTACTTTATTCTGCTTTATTTCATATTTTTTCTTGCTTGAGTGTTGCCTTTTATTATGCTGTATTGGGCTATTCCAGATGTATAATATAATATGCATTTAGAATAAAGGTATAATAAAGTTCAATTAAAAGTTCAGAAAACCCAGCATCCATTCAGTTATAATCTCTATTAAGAGATGCTAACATGTTCTTTTATATGCTTTGTATTTTTTTCAACTTTCATTATTCTGTTTTATATTTCTCTTGATTAGCTGTTGCTTTCTCTTGTGCCACATTTGGTTGGCTATCCCAGATACTTTGTCATTGGGATTTTCCAAAAGTTTGGTGTCACTGTAAATGACGTAAGACCTAGCTCTCATTGATTCACTTTCTTTGTTAACAGGAACTAATATTTATCCCCAGTTAGAAAAGGTTATTGCTAGAACCACAGTGACAATATTATATAACTATAGTTCTACTTGCAGCTTGTGCCATGTTTATTATAGGAAATGAAAATTTTGAGACCTTGATTCATATATTTTCCATCTTCTTACATGTAAATTAACTGTTTTACAGGCTGTCAAACAAATGGAAAAGAAAAAGTTACAGCAAGGACATCCTCCTTCAGGTCCAGGTGGAGAACTGAAATTTCAACCATGTAAGCAACTTTGTCTTCCTCCTGCTCTGTTTCTCTTCCATTGGCTTCCTTTCACTTGCCTGTCCAGCAAAAACAAGGCAGTAAAGTTGTCTGCCTTTCCTTTACTATTACAGTATAGCAGGGTGCTCCTGGTCTGTCCATTTGTTATGTTATTACAAAGAACAGTGGGGAACTTATTCCTGCAAGTAGATTAAGTCTCTCATGCCTCAAAAATACCACTTTCATTGACTTCATTTAAGAGTGGAACAGGTGGGCATGCAACAGGACATTGCTATTCTACTGATTAGGTGTGTTTGTATAGGATGAGAGGTGGTAGACAAGTAACTTATATCTGTATTTTGTTTTGTCTTAATCTGAGTTACAGAGAGGGAATTGTATGCTGTTCAGAGTTGGCTGTGATCAGAGCAGCCTATAGGTCTTGTAAAATAAAATAAATAAAATATCACTTCCAATTACTAGTAATGTATGGAGAGTAGTGACTAAAATCCAGAACTTCTTCCACGAAGAGAACAGGAGAGGAAAGGAGCAGAATCTGGTGTTTAGATCCACATGACATTTTTGCCTTCATGTTGACTGTTCTCACAGGAAGGAAAGAGCAAGACTGGTGTGAATTAAGCCCCACCTTGTAGACATTTGAGTTTATTAAGTCAGGATTTCTGGCAAATACAGCCACAGTGTGGGTCAGCATTTTTAACCAAATGGATTGAAAGTATTATGAGTAATATATTCAGTGTTGATATTAAAAAAAAAATTAAAATATAGACAGGTAATCTGACACAGTGGTAAGTAGTGTATATTATAAGAAGGACTTAGCTTTTTATTTGACTGAAATTAATTTAGGCTGTGAATTAAGATATTGGAATGAATAATCATAGAATAAGTTGTTATCTTGCATGTTCAATAAATGTTTTTTATTAAAAATTTTAATTACAATAGTAAAAACGAATACAAACTAAACTTAGAGAAAGAGAAGAGAATGGAAAGAAAGAATAAAGAAAAAGAAAAGTAATATATAGAGAAGTGACTTCTAACCTTCATCAGAACAAGTATAAACAAATTTAATAATTGTTCACCCCATATAAAGTTAGATATCTCTTCATCCCATATCCCATCCCTTAATTATATGGAAATCCATATAACATCAACTTTTCAATCCTGGTATCAGCAAAAAGTCCATAAAGGATTGCCAGAACACTGCAAAAAAAAAAAAAAAGTCTTATTTTAACCTTATCAAATAAACCAACTTTATATTCCTTCCTTTACTTCTAAG